CCCAAAGTATTAAACAGTTCGTATCAGAAATAAATTAGTAGAACAATAAATCAGCAGAACTCAGCAACACCAACGTATCTACATTCTTCTACTCACGCACACACAGACACAGAACTACCATTACACTACACTGTTAACTGTCTGTCAAAGCCAAGTCACTAACAAATTCTATTATCCTTTTGTACAAAGCATTCTTGAATTCAAAATCTTATTCACTGAATGAACATTTCAACAAGAAAAGTTCTTAGTATATTATTCTATCTTGCATCAGTACAAGGGAAGCTACTTTTCTCTCCCTAAATATTAATACATAAGCACAATTGTTGTAATCGTTGAAGGGTTTATTTTTTTTTTAATCTCAAGTTAGAGACGCAACGACTATAAAGATTTTATAATAAAATTAAAAAAAAATACTGCCTAATTCTGATTAGATTACGATAGACTAGTTTAACTAGTTATTAAACAAAAATGTATATAAATATAGCTAGTATAAATTTTATATATTTTATTTTTATACCAGTCTCTTTAAACCTGATATATATGTGTGTGTGTGCGCGCATTTGAAAAGATAGTTTTTATAACTGATTATGTCGGCAGTTCATTATTAAAAGTTAAAACAATGTCTTTTTTTTCTCCTACTTCATATTTTTACATTTTCTTTTTTTCTAACCACATGAGGCCGGTATAACGATTGTTTTGAGGCGTAAATTTTCTTTTCTTCAATACTTTTAATTTACATTCAGAATTTCGATAATTCTATCGTGCGATTATTAGAATCTTGCAGTTGTTGATTTATTTTATTTACTTAGAATGTAAGTAAACTATTTCTTACATATAGAAATGTTTAAGCTTTACGACAAATGTCATCATAATGCAACTTTTTTTCTTTTTTTCAGATTAACTCATTCTGTGCCTGTTTCTTTAAATATTAGTCTTTTAATGTAACTTTAAAAAAAAAAAAAAAACGATTTTAATTTAAGTCATTTTAGTTTTTTTTTTTTATGAGCGAAAATATTAGAATTTTAGAGTTTGTGATATAAAATTTTGCTTGGAGCAAACTAGAATCTTTGCACTGTTAAAAAAATGATTTCATTAAAAAGAAATCACTGAACCTGAAGGCCCCAAATGAAATTGCCATGTACAAAAAATTCTTTACGGTGGTTTCAAAAAGCTAAAAAAAAAAATTTTACACAGTATCCTTTAATTTTATATATAATATATATATATATATATATATATATATATATATATATATATATATATATATATATATATATCTCCACCCCCATTCGTAACGTTTTTTATATTGAGTCTTTTAGTATATTTGCGTTAGTTTTACGTTTATTTTCATGTGGTAAATTCTAACGTCATATATAGTGCTTGAAATTACTAGTGAGCCGATTTAAAAATTCGGAAGGAAAAAAAAAATCAATATTTTAGTTTTTAAATTTTTGTTATAGAATTATGGGAATTTTTTGCTTTTCAAAATCTTATAGATTGCTGCCAAAATAAATCAACCTGCTGGGGATGGACAAGGAATAAAAAGACCCTATGAAGATGGACCAGGATTTGGTAAATTTTTATTTATTTATTTTTTTTTATTTTTATTATTATTATTTAAATCTTCATTTATAACTGACTGTATTTTGTGTACTTTTAAGAAGCTATGGTAATTTGCTTAGATTAATCTTCAGCTTAAAACTACAATATGACTTGAAGGCTTTCTAGATATTTACAAAGTTTCTTTCACTAATCATAGATCTGGAAAAATAATGACATAACATGATCTACTGTTTTAAATAATTGTTGTATAAAGAAATTCGATTTAACACGAGATAAATAGTAAAATTATTACTTTGAATTGGCTTTCGGTTTTCACTCAACAAATAATAATTTATACATCTCATTGTATTGGCTACCATGTTCTCATTAGAACATTCTGCTGCAACTAAAAAATCCTGCTGTCAGTTTATTTAACGAAAATTGTGTAGTATTTTTCTTGGACACATAAATTCCAAATTTATGTGTGTGTTTATTATATGAATATAAAATTAGAGCATTTAAGATTTCCAGGAATAGGATTTTATCATGAGATTTTAAAATTTGAAAATATATCCAGTAGAGAAAGAATACAATTTTTTACATTTATTTTTTTAAGCTTGAAAACAAATAGTTTCTTAAAGTAACAAAAATTAGTCACAAGGTTGTATTTTATAGCTTTTTAAATGTCAGGATTGTATGATCAGAAATTCAGTTGCTCCACTGTAAGCAGGTGCTCGGTGCTATTTTTAATATTTCTCTCTATCATTTTATATATGCATATATCTGTAGATAAAAGAAATTTTAGGATGAGCAGTTATTTACATTTCCTCATTATCACAATGTTTTGGTTATCATACCATCTAGTCTTCAAGTGTCTGTCCAATCTGTTATTTAATCTATGGTGTTGGATTGTTCTCATTCTGTTGTCCATGTCTAAGGATTTTCCATTTTGATATTTAGTATTGCTCAGTTAGTACCTGCCCTAATTCCACTGAATCTGTGTCTTACTATCTGACCCAGGTATTGAACTTGCAATGTTAGCAAAATTACAAATCAACACTTAAATCCACTAGATTATTAAGTGAATCATCAGATAACTTATGTAATTAACACTGATTTTATGTAAATGTAAACTTTATTTTGCACAATAAAAATCCTGATTTTAGATTTTATCATAGGTTATCACAAATTTAATAGCTTAAACTTTTCTATATATGTAATGAAGAACTGAATAAGACACTTTCATCATTACTTAATGAAGTTTTTAAATGCTAGATTTTCTCATATTTGAAAAAAAATATTTTGTACATTAAGAAATTGGCAGAAATGAGCTTCTTCATATTGTTTTGTGATTATTTTAGTATTAGCCAATTTCAAAATTGATAAACTTTTTAGTTTCTGTCCAGATAAATTTATTTTTAAACCCTCAATATTCACTGGATATTATTGCATCTGATTACCACCCAATTCAGAGTAATTAGACTAGTTTTTATGAAGACAGAAACTACATTCTCTTAAATCTTTTCAAACAAAAAGACATTTGCAAAAAAAAAAAAAAAAAAATATGAAACTTGTGAATTGTTGGAATGTTTTGTTTTTTGTATTTTAAATTTTTTTTCTTAACCCAAATTTATGTATTAGGATAACCTGTTTAAAATTATCCTGTCAGTAACTTAACTGTAAATATAGGGAGGTTGTTAAAACGGTATTCTCCCAAAGTTGTGTTGTGGTCAGATTTTGGTAACTAGTGGGTTAAAAACTTTTCAATTCCACCCTTGTGTGTGTGAAAGAGTCGAGTTTTATATAACTTTAAAAAGACTTTATTAAATTGAATGAAAAAAAAAAAAAAAAAAAAAACTTTTTTTTTTTTTTTTTTTGTCAAATAAGTCATTTGATATAAAGTGAAAACTTGTGGATGAACTTGCTGAGGTTGTGTAGTTTTATGTACTTTTGGTCATTTTCCTAAAAAAAAAAAAAAAAAAATGTAAAAATCAAGAGATAGCTAATGGACAATTTGTAATGGGTCCACATGCTATTATGGTGGAATACATTATGTAATTTTACTAAAATTACCCTATAAAGCATTTTAACATGTGCTCACTAAGATTGAAAAAAAATTTATTAATGGTAGATTGCTGTATTTTGATATGTAGAGCCTCCAAAATTTTTATATGTAATCTATAATATCAGGAGAGGCTTTCCAAAAAGCTTAGTTGACATTCCTTGTCTGTTACATATCAGCTTTAATTTTCCAAACTTCCAGCACCATCAAAAAAGAATGCTTAGGATATTAATTCAGAACTAAAACTCATAAAATGCTATTTCCTATATCTGATTTTTTATGAATATTTAAAAATCCAAAATTTCAATGAGTATTGTGAAAATATTTCTTTAGTAGAAATGTATATTTTCCTTAAATTTTCTCGTATATATTACTCTAATAATAGTTGATGAAAATTGCTTTTTATTTATTTTATTTTTTTTTTTTTTGCCCTTTCAGGTGAGCCTGATGTGAAGAAGACTCCTGCTGCAATAAATGATCGTAAGTTATTAGCTGAATGCTATTATAGTCAGTGAGCGGTGGGTAACTTTGTATAACCTGTTTATACTCATCACTCACCAGTTATAGAAGGGCATCAGAATAATTCTTGCACAATTCTACATATTGAATTTATAATGCTCATTTTTGCACTTAAAATGTGCTACCTCCTGATAAAATTCACATTTAAAAAGTTTTCATAATTGACTACTGTCAAACATCATAGTCAAATGTCTTGAGGTCCTTTTGAATATGTATTTTTTCCATTATGCAATAATGGAAATGTTTTAAAACTTGGAAGAAACCTGTTGAAACTAAAACTGTCTATACATCAAAATGTATTTGAGTATTTTATTGTGACTTACTTTGGTCCCATTGTTTACTACTATTTTTTTTTTGAAGACATTAATAAAAAAGGTAAGTTTTGTGAAGAACTTATGAAAATTAACTTAAATAATATTTAAAGCCTGATAAATTGGCATTGTAGAAGTGTAGTTTGAATTTACTGAATGCCTTTTTATATATTGCTGGCTAGCTGTGACTGGTGTCTTGCACACAGTCTGTTTTATCACAATTTTGCATGGATATCAATGCAATGATCAGCTGACATAATTAAGATACTTTCTTACATGGTCCATGTTTGCCATCTATTTATCCTTAATATGATCATTATTTAACTTTCCTTTTATTTTCAATTAATTTTTTTTATGTGTTTGGTGTTGAATAACATCCCTATCTACTGGTTTTGTTGAATTTTTTCTCTCTGCATTCTGATTGCTCACAGGCCAGTGTGAGTGTGTGTGTGCGTGTTTGTATAATGATTCAGTGATGGAAACTTTTATTTTTCATTTATTTTTAATGAATCCATTCTGCTCCTGCAGTTATACTCTTAAGCCGTTGCAAAGTATTTTTTATCCTCATAAATAGTTTCTATGCTTATGCTGTTGCATTATTAAAATCAAAATCTTGCTGGATTGAGGGGCGTTTTTAATGTGAAAGTTGACAAGGTAGACAGAACTTTTACTTACCAAAACAGTTTCGCAGATGGGCAGGCATATTGCTGCTGCCTGGACAACATGTACTGCATTCCCTTTCTCCAGCTGGAGTCAAGTGCTGCAGGAATACATACTTATTAGTGAATAGTCAAACTAGATCCTGATAGCTGCTGGTGCTGACAAAGGGAAACATTTGCATCCCTGATTTGTTTCCTACACAGATATATTTATGACAGGTAAATATATTAATAATTTTGTTATTTAAACTGTACTGTCATAAATGCCAACTTTTTTAATGCTAAATTCTCTAAATGCAAAGTTCAAGTGGAGATGTTTTTAAATGCTGACTTTGAATGCAAATGTTTCTTTTCTTTTTTCCTATTTTTTTTTTTTTTTTTTTTTTTTTTTTCCTTTTTTTTTTTTTTTTCCTTTTTTTTTTTTTTTTTTTTTTTTTTTTTTTTTTTTTTTTTTTTTTTTTTCACTTTTATTCATGAACCCAAACCTAATTGTAATTTAAAATATATTCAAAAGGTATTGTATAACATCACTTAAATCTGTTTCTTTTAGATAATCTACATTTGTATACATACTTAGTTACATTTTACAGGTAAACTTCAAATTAGTAAAATTCCATTTAAGATGTTTTTATTTTTAGACAATTTAACCAAGTAGCGTTATTAAATGCTACTTAATATTGAATTTAATCTAGCTTTCATATAAAATTAAGACCATATCAACAATCACCAACCTTTTTTTTTTTTTTTTTTTTTTTTTCCCTAAGCTAGTTTATAGCAGATAAAATTCTTTTGAATTTTTATATTTTTTAGTGAACTGGTTTCGGTCCTGGCTTACACAGCTCATTTGTTTTGGGTTTCAAACTTAGTTTTTTTTTACATGATTTTTTTTTTACTTCAGCCATTGGAGCCCAACTACGTGCTATGGCTGAGCAACAAAGGTGAGTTATTACTCTCCGAGAGTGAATTTTTTTTTTTTTTTTTTTTTTTTCCTCCCTTGGTAGTTGTAAAATTAAATATTACAATTTACATTAAGATTATAAAACATAGGGATGTTTGAATTTGTGTGTGTGTGTGCTAGATATTAGCTGCTTTAATATGAGAGCTTGTGAAGAATACTTATATCTTACAAAATATAGTCTTCAAACTTTATATACTTGGAAGATCTTAGTTGTTGGCTTTTATAGTTATACAATTCTATGTTTTTTGCACTGTTTAAAAATATCTTTGTATCAGGATTCTTGTGTTTTAGAACTCTTTCTTGGATACTAAATTTGGAGAGCTTTTTTATTTTCAGGTCAAATCAAGCTACACAGGCAGCACAAGCAGCTCAAGAAGCCGCTGCACGTCTCAATCAACAGTTGGGTGTTTCCAATCCTAATTTGCAGAAGTCTTCTCCAGTCACTAGCCCTGGACCCCATTCAACTATGGAGATGGTCTCCTCAGAATACAAAGTGCCTGACAAACTTGTTGGTTTGAGTAAGCACTTTTTAAAATCCCCTCCTGAAAAATGCCAAAGAGATGTAAGGTGCATCATGTTAGGCTGAATGATGTACCAATTTCTTGTTTCGACAACGTAACAAAATTTTGATACTTTTAAGTGTGCAGTTGTGGAGGTCATTGAACAAGAGAGCTTTTAAAACCATTGTTCATAAATTTCAAATGCCATATCTGAAAGAATTCTATCGTATTTGCCATATTTTGAAAAATTGTGTATGAAGGCTTTTCTTGATTGAATGATTTTATCCAACAAGTATTAATGGAATGCAACTGGTTTCCATTTGATATCCAAAATTGTTTACTTAGTTGACATTTTGAATTTTTTTTCTATCTCCTTACATTTAAATATATATATATATATATATAATGACTTATAAACTTTTCAAGATGTTATCTTTTAAATTTAATTTCTGAATTTAAATGTAAATAGAAATAATTCTTTACTTCATAACTTGAAAATGTCAATATTGTTTGAAGTTCACATATTTTCAAACATGAAGCTTATATTTGAAATTTGCATTAGCCTTTTGACCAATTCACTACGACTTTGTCACTTTTTTTAAGCTATTTTGTTGAAACGTACATGATTAGTATAAAGATTGCTAATGTTTCAGTTTACCTCATTAAGATACTGTATTTCCTGTTTAGAAACATTTTACTATTATGACCACTTTGAGGTTTTTTTTTTCTCTATAACTGATGAAAGGTTTTTCATAGGCAGTGATTGTTAAATCAGTTCACCCTATTTGTTTTTATTTTAATCATTCAAATGTTTTGCTTTATGAACATGAATTATGTTCATTTTAGTAGAATAATTGATATTTCAACATTGCAGACATTGAAGATGAAATAAGATTTCTTGAAGTAAATATCCTTTATTCCGAAGAAGAAATGATGCATGGAAACGACGCTGAATTTTCTGCAGAAGTCAAAAGAATGAAATGTGAAAAAAACATTTGTCGATTCTCGGATTAGTGTTTCCTAAACGCAAAAAAAATTCAATATTTATCATTAACTTCCAAGAGAGGCCAGAGTAAGAACATGACAGACGTAAATGACAAAATGGCAACAGCATTGCCTCTCTTACGGTTACCATCATTAATTGTAGATTTTGAAAGTGCAATAAGCGTTCTTTAAGAAATGGTGCGTGAAGATGACGCTAATATTTCTCCGGAAATCAAACAGGTGTCGATTCTCACATTAATGTAGTACTACTTGGAAACACCTATGTAAATATTTTTTCATTTCATTTCAAGCGTGGCCCGAGTAAACGACATGGCAGACGTGAATCACAAAATGGCAGTAGCTTTTCCTCACCATATCAGACGACGCTGACATTTTTTTTCCGGAAATCAAAAAAGAAGAAATGGAAAATAAACAACTGACTATTCTCACATTATTGCGTTTTACACTTGAAAACACAAATGTAAATATTTGTCATTTCATTTGAATCGAGGTCCGAGTTAGAACATGGAAGACGTTAGTCACAAAATGGCCAAAGCATTTCCTCTCTTAGGGATACAACTACGTATTTTAGATTTTGAAGATGAAATAAGCGTCATTAAAATTTAATCTGAGTAATAACCTTCTTTAAATTGAGTATATTAAAACGAAAAAACAAAATAAATGAAATGACAGCGTCGAGTCCCGACTTTGAAGGCCCGTGTCACAAATTCGTGTAACAGCATGCAGTGTAGATATTGAAATTGAAGAAATGTAAAATAAACAGTTGACGATTCTTACATCGATGAGTTTCCCACTTGGAAACACAGAAGTATTTATCATTTGTTTTCATGCCTGGCCCGAGTAATGAAATGACAAAGGCGAGGTACAAAATGGCGACAGCATTTTCTATTTTACAGATACCACCATTCATTGCAGCCATTGAAGATGAAAAAAAACTTTCTTAAAGTAAATAGCCTTTGTTCTGAAGAGGAATAGATGCAGGGAAATGTCACTGAATTTTCCCTGGAACTCAAAAATAAAAAATAAAAACAAACAATGACATTAATTTTATGTCTGTTTACTTTATTCGTCTTTTTCCCTTTCTTCTTTATTATGTAGATTGAAGAGTATCAACTAAATTTATTTTTTAAAAATTTCTTAAAGTTACGTAATTGGGGATAACAGATGTCAAAAAGAAATATTCGAAAATGTCACTAATTCAACTACAATTTAAAAAACAAGGCTTTTTTTCGAATAGTTAATAAACTTTTGATGATATAATCTGGCAATTATTCAATTTTTACAAGAATTTCCAAACGAATGTGATTTTAACATCAACAAGGAAGATAAATTTCTCATAGTAATCTTTGTCTTATCGCTGACGAAAGAATAACAAAATATTTAACAAAAATTTTCAATGTGATAGAAAGGACTGCATAAATATATAAAATAATCAAAAAATAGTTTGGCCTTTCCGCTTAATAATAGCAAATATATTTTGACGATAAAACTTTGTTTTTATCAAGTTTGGGGCCTTTTTCATCATGCTATGTTTGATTTTAGAAAAGTTTTATGCGTACCTAATTTACTGTATTAATTTTTCAGTTAAATATTTAATAATTGAAAACTTGTAAAATTAATGGGAATATGTCATGAATTAAATTATAATTTAAAACACAATTCCATTGTACGGAAATTCAATAAACGTTTGATGATATTTATTTTACAAATTAAACTATTTCTAGATATATTTTTCTTCTTTTTTAAATTTTCCAGTACTTGCCACATAAAAACTCATTTATTTAAAACAAAGTATCTATAAACAAGTGACCTTAATTTTATGTTTGTTTTACTTCCTTCAAAAACAAAGTATCTATAAACAATAAACAATTTGTATGTTTTTCGTTATTTTTTTTATTATCCTGCCATATCTTTTTTGCGACATTGTTTCCAACTTTTTGTCGGATGAGGAAACGTCATCCAATTATGGCGTCATACAGATCAAAGCAAAATGGAAAGTTAAACTGATTTAAAAAGTTCAGAGGTCATCCGAGAACCACCATAGTCACAACGCTGAACCGAGACATTCAAAGAATAAGGCCGAAATATCACACTTTTTCTTTGGAGAAGTTTACAATCAAGGAAGATCTGTAACAAATCCACAAACTCGCAGTGGACAGAGAAGGCGGGCAAAATATTATCGAATCAGTATACAATATCACTGAAGATGAGAGAACATGTTAATTCTTGACATCAAATCGAAACAGTTTTGATGATGATGATGATGATGATAATCAACTCGCTTAGAAACAAAAACGCTGAATATTCTCCTGATTCTCGCACTAATTCTTTTCGACAATAGAAAAACATATTGCAATATTTATCATATCTTTTACATAGAGCAATTGATGCTGGGAACGACGCATCCTTTTCTCCGAAAATCAAAAGAAAGAAATGGAAAAAAAAAACAGGGGACGATACTCGGATTAATGCTTTTCTTAAATGGAAAAAAAATATGTCAATATTGATAATTTCTTCCAAAGCCTGGCCAGAGAAACAAAGAGGTACAGGCGAGTCACAAAATGGCAAAATCATATCTTATTTTAGATATGAAATAAGTCAAAAAAGAAGAAAGGGCAAAAAGTGGTTACAATTGTCATACTAATGCTTTTCCAAAATGGAAAAAATGTCAATAATTATCATTAATTTCCAAACGAGGCCCGAGTAATGCCATTGCATATGTAACAAAATGGCAACTGCATTTTCTCTTTTAGATACACCATTAGGCATTGTTGATATTGAAGATGAAATAAGATTTCTTAAGGAAAATATACTTTATTCGAAGAGGAAAAGATGCAACGAATCGACGTTGAATTTTCTCCAGAAAAAGAAAAAAAAAGAAATGAAAAAAAAACAAAACACAGGTAACGTTTTGCGCATTAATATATTAAGTTTACAGTTAGACTTGGTTCTATAGCTAGGGATGGCTTGAAGAAGAATTAATGTAAAATTTGGTTGGATGCACACAGGAAAACAAAAGGAAAAAATTAAATAGAGTCCAATAGGTCTACTAGGCAAAACAAATACGCACTTCTCTCCACGTCTCAATCTCCAATACACCACTCTTCGTCAGAAGCAGAAACTCCCACTGCTCTTGAATGAGCGTATCATAATTTTATACACCTGGATGCCATTGCTCAGGCAAATGAGCGCCCAGAACCAGCCAATAAAAATGGCTATGAATGACACCACCACTTCCATCAGCACAAAGCGCTACCCGATTCACTGTCCATCTGGAAGAAGAAGAGGATTACAATACTTATGCAGTTGACTATTTAAACTCAGTCAAAGAGGATCATGTAATACAGCTTGGACGAGTTAACCTGAAAGTCAATTTGTTCTAATGTGTATAAAACAAAAGGATTTAATTCAGGGAAAAAGAAGTGTGGAGAGACTCTCTTAATGATTAGAAAGAATTCAACAGACATTGAAAAAATAAGTCAAGACCAAAGAGGAAGATGGAATTAGGAGAGGAGGAGGATTCATTTTTCTTGTCCAGAAGAAATTGAAACTTCAAAAATTCATATATTTTGAAAAGTACTTTTTCAGACAAATAAAATTTAAAGATCTTCTATCTTGACTGAAAAAACAGATCTTCAAAGATCACAAGAATAAGGTTTTTCTCCAGTGTGTGTATAGACATGATTCACTAAATGAGACTTCTGTGAAAATGCATGTCCACAAACTTCACATGAAAATGGTTTCTTTCCAGTGTGTGTACGGATATGTATCATTGAGACTTCCTTGAAAATGCATGTCCACAAACTTCACATGAAAATGGTTTCTCTCCAGTGTGTGCACGCATATGCCTGTTCATACATGACTTCTCTGCAAACGAAGATCCGCAAACTTCCCAAGAATATGGCTTCTCTCCAGTGTGTGTACGATTATGTCTGACTAAGTATCTTTTCTGCGAAAATGATGATCCACAAATGTCACAAGAGTATAGTTTCTCTCAGTATGTGTACACATATGTTTAACCAAACTTGACTTCTCTGAAAATGATGATCCACAAAATTCACAAGAATATGGCTTCTCTCCA